TCAACGACAGAAGCTTTTTAAAATCTTTTTTGTGCCTTACGGAACGATTGCAACCTGAAAACCATTGTTGTTATGATCGAGCGGAAAATATTCTGAAGAGGCTGCTTGCAATCATACGAATTTTCTTTTGCATTTGTTATCCTATGCTCTTCATTAAGAGATCATCTAAGTTTCGAAGGAGACTCATGGAAAATTTCATACTATCCGGAACTCTTTTCTTCTAGCCATTATGCTTTCATTTTTGTAATACCATCCGATTCGCCGTGCCTTTAGAATGCCCTTTTTTCTCTTAAAATTGATGTGTCATATCAGATTGTGAAATCTTTTGTTTGTTGCGCCTACAGAATGCTTATCAAAGGAAAGATTCAGCACAGCAGGTTTTCTGCTGACTATTCAAAACAAAACAAGATGGGCTTACATGAACTAGTAAGATATACAAATCTAACGGTAAGAACCTTTGTGCAGAGGTCATTGCTAGCTAAGATACTTTTTGAAAAAATAGTAAAGTCTTAAATTTTCCCATACCAAACCACGCACGGGCACGAGACCCTACCCTTTTACTTTAAACGGGCCAAATGTTCTTCTTGTTGAACATTGAGCATCAGATTTAGCAATTTATTTGCAGATGCAGTTGAGAATGCCGTTTCTTTCTCTTTGAAAAGGAATGACTTGAAGGTCGCAAAGTACAGGATACTTCCGTTAGATTGCGCAAATGCAAAATAAAGTAAAGATGACTTCATTGACGAAGTACATGGAGCAGAAGTCTGCGGTTCAGAAAATGAAGGTGAACTCAGTGCTCTACACGCTGGAGATAGCAGAAAACTAATGCACATGCCACAAGCGCAATTTGTACCCTTCTTTAAGTCAGTGAAGAATATATTCCTAACTGATCTCTGAAGCTTCTTCAGAATCGTCTGATGTCATATCCGAATCAGAATATCGCATGCTAATTTCATAGCTTATGCTATCAGGTTAACCCTTTCGGACCTGAGTTTTCTCGAGTAAACAGAAAAGCCTCACACCTACTGTCTTTTGCTTACCATCAGAATAACTTTATAGCGAAGTCTGGAGTTTTTTCAACCACATTAACCATTTATTTTTGATTTTTCAATTTTTGATTTTGCGTTTATTTTGGATTCTTAAGTCTTCCACACTATATGTGGACCCGCAAAAAGTTAGCAATTAGACTTGCTTAGTATTACACTCAACATTCTGATAACATTATGGGTATTTTTTGGCTAATAAACGATATTGGTGATGCTTGCTAAAGCCCTCACAAAATGATTAGTCGCAGTCGAGTTTTACGTAAAAATCTTTATGCTGCTGACAGGAAAACGAATGAAGAGGAGGCTTTGAAGCTACATTTGGATGGCAAAGGTTATATGAAACGGTCTGTAGCATTGGGTATTGAAAATATGTCTTTGCTTCAGTACAGCGCGTCTCCGAAGTGATGGTGGCAGTTGCCACCACCAGGTCTAAAGGGTTAATGCTCAATGCATATTACTTATTTTTGAGCGGCAGGAATACTATAAAAGTTTGCAAGGTGTGCCATTCCATAAAGCAAATCAAGATGGTGTTTAAAATCTCAAAAGGTTTGATGCAGAAGTTAAGAAGGAAAATCCAAAATTTCCAAATGCCAAAAACTGTATCTCGGTTCAGAAAAACTCAACAAACCTCCACTTGCTAACAAATATCACCTGTCGCATCTGTAATGCGTATGTACAATTGCTATTAGGTCGGTCCGAAAGTTCTGTCGTTTCATTTTCAAAACTCGTTACTCTGCGCAGTCCCAACGGATTTGCTCATCCTCAATTTTATTAGAACTCGCGCACTCGTAACGGATTCACTCGCACTTAATTCTATTAAGAAGAATAAATCTCGAATGCTGCTTTGCAGTGCTTCTGACTCACGCAGACTGCAGAGATAAAAATGAAAAAGGAAGACCATGTTGACTCTGATCATTTTAATAGGTC